TTTTTTTTTTTTTTACTATAGAATGTAAAAAGCACCATACCATACCATAAATGTAAAAAAAGAAAAAACAAAGTTTCCCTATGTTATGTTATAAAACATTCTTACCCATATTTTTAGTAAAACATAAAATTCAGGGTCACGGCGGGTAAATAGACACCAAACATGTCAAGCCTTAAAATTGCGTGCGCCCGCAAAATCGCAAAAAACGCCCATAGGCGACGATTAAAATGCTTTTACTGCTCATCAGTTTAGTATTATCAGTGATTAATGGCTCTAAAATGATTGCTCTCACTCCGACGTTTGCGGCGATATTTAACATGTGCGGCACAATAGGAGCAATCGTCATTTTCGCACGTAGGCGCACCGAACTCATAGCTGCGTGTGTATGTAGGTATTACTTTTTTTTTTCTTTACACACAGCTTTATTGCTATTACATAGGGGGCTCAGAAGCCCCCTATGTAATAGCCAATTTACATGACAGGTACTCTTTAAGGAGACATCAGGGTTCCTCAAGACCCCTAATGTCACCTAGGGACCCCCAGAGAAGCTGATGAAGCAGAGATTGGCTTCATTAGCTTCTCTAGCTGGAGAGTGACAGTGAATGCAGGAAGTGATGTAATCTACATCACTTTCTGCATCCAGGGACTGAGAGGAGATCAAAGGGAGTTCGTACACTGATCTCCCTTTTGATCTCCTGTCACAGAGCCGTGGCGGTCAGGGCCGCATCGGTCACAGCGGATCACTTCACATAAAGCTTGACCAAAAAAGAAGAAAAAAACGCCTATAAAATTACAAAGAATCGTATCGCACAGAAATCGAAGGGTACAATCTCAAGGCAACAGACCCTCCGTTGCATTGCGATTTTGCTGTGAATGGGGCCTTACTCCTGTCAAAGAGTGCTTACTGAAACTTTGCTACAATACTGCTACTATGTGGAACACCAAGGCATGACTCTCTGCATTGTGTGCTTGTACTAACAATATAAACTGTATGTATATGTATATATATATATATATATGTGTATATGTATGTGTGTGTGTGTGTATGTATATATATATATATATATATATATATATATATATATATATATACACATATACACATATACACATACACACACACACATTTTATTCACAGCTAGCAAGAAAACAAATATTTCCAAAGCAAGCTTTTGGGGCTCTCCATCAGACATTTTGGAGGGAAGTAAAACAACCCTATCAGGAGAAATCTATAAACTTTACTGCAGAGCCAACCAAGGTTGGTGTGACAGGTTATGAGATGAATTTACTATTATAATGAGGCTTGATTTATAAATTCTCCCCTCTGCTGCACAGAAGTAGCACTGCACCTATTTACAAAATGCCGTTGAACAATTTGTAGGAATGCGTATGGTTTAAGTAGAAATATGTGGCAAGTGACGCAGTAACTCTGCCATAGATGATTGCAAATCTGTAGCAGTCAACTGTCTGTTACAGGAGTCCTAAACTGTTGCAGACACAGCCCAGTCTGCAGCAGACAGGGAACCTCTACATTTACTATCTTGTCTGAAAGATCGCCATAAGAAAGTCCTTAAAATGGTCCCCTGTAAAGTAGTGTTAACTGCTCAGATATGGGATTTATGTATATGTAAGCTGTCTTTGAAACAATACATTGTTCTCTCTAATCGTACCATTTGCAACAGTGTCGGAACAGTATCCTCAGTGATTCATCTGTGCGAATTTTCCAAGTGCTCTGTACAGCATTGGTTATTGTTTATCTTTCTACCTTCTCAAATCTATGGTAGATATTCCCATAGAAACCATTCCACCTGATTTACGTGTGTGATAAAAGATTAGCCGATCCAACGTGATTAAAGAAAAAAATCATTTGATGCATTCGGTTTTGTAAGTGTGTGTGGGGTTTAATGTGTGTTTGCTTCTCTGCAGGGCCTAATGCATCGACATTGAAAAAAGGGTTGTAACTGTTGCCAAGGAAATCATAGCAATAGGTGATGTCACATATATATAAACAAAGCTAATAGGTGATTAATAGAACAAACACAACCAAGTGCCCAATGCATGGATTATGCATGGTGAAAGCCCGTGAAGAAACTGGTACACTGCTATGATCATGCTACTTAAAAGGGGTTACAAGGAAGCTAAAGCCAAAGCTTTAAAGTGTAAACCTCAAAGGTTTTACTGTGTGTTCCTTTTGTGTTGGGACAAGCAAATAAAATCTAGATACATGCACAAAAATCTGTGTACTTAGCTGTCATACATTGTAATGGTACTTAACATATGTGACACTGAAAATAGCCTAAGGAAGCTAGAGGAGATTGTTAAATGATCTCACTTATACAGTGCACACACCATAACCACAGGTGACCTTAGCAGGCATAGACCAGAATATAATTAGTGGAGATTTGAGTCCATTAGCTGGCATCACATTGCTTCCTGTGTAATATTTAGGCTATATTCTCACGGGGCAGCTGGGGATTCCTGCCCCAAGAATTCCCGTGTGTGTCCATACAGATGCATCTGTTAGCAGCAGTCCGCATGTATTTGGCCATGATATGATTACCTGCGGTTCAATCTGTCTGCATCCAGGGACAGTCATCTATCCTGAACTGCAGTTAATGATTCCATGTATGCTGCCAGCTTGTCATAACTTGAATGGGCACAGCGGCCGCATCTGTATGGACAGACCTGGGATTGCTGCCGCAACAATCCATAGGTTCTTTCCGCAGGAATCCCGAGCCACAGCCTAAAGTGCCCTGTTGTGAATGAGGCCTAAGCTGGTGCTAACTGGAGCCCCAAATAGTGGTTAGTGGGGTGACCATTTTGAGAACAAATCGACCCCATTTACAAATGGCGAAATCTCCATTGTTATGTGCAATCTACAGATATTGGCAGGGTTGGAGGACCAGCTTATCCTGAGTGTGTAAGTACTGGTGCATCATTTAATGGCTGAGGAAAAATCAATCCTCATCTTCCACCTTATCCCTTCCATGAGTGTTCAGGCAGACTGGGCTGAGAGATGTCCCCAGACTGTAAATGTTCAAGTTGAGCAGATATTCTCCTGTCTGTAGGCACAATTGTTTTCCCAGCTTTGTGCATGTATTCCCTTTTTTAATCCAATTAACAATAGCAGCCTCTGCGATATTGAAATGGCAGTAATAAGGGGTTGGCCATACTCTGGCCAATCCTTCCTTTATGACAAAAAATAGCTTGGCCTTGAAAACCCTATTCCCACTCTTGCACTGCAGTAAGGTCCATTAATGCAGTCCAGTATGAGTCATTCTGAATGGCACCCCAAGGCACCTTCTCAACATGTCTGCATTGCAGAGCAGTGCAATGCATCTTAGTGCATGCATTGCCATGCGCTGAACTGCCAAAAATGTTGCAGGCACCTTTTTTGGTGGGGTTTAGTGCATGAGGCAGGCCATTAAAATGAAATAGGCTTCCTAAACGAAACAAACATGCACTAATGCAGTGCAGTTTTGTGAGTGGAGCCTAGGGCTTGTTTTCTATGTCAAAATGTGATCTGTGATAAAAGTTTTTAAATCCCAACATGTTGTACTAAAATGTAATCTGACCCCTTATCAAAGTCATATTGATAAATATTGGCTTAATTCATACTTTATAATATCGGCTTTAGTGAAGAATGGCCCTAAAGTAAATTTGTACTGAGAAGATATGGAGGCCACCATTGCTGACTTCTTCTAAACATTGAGAATGCGGCCAGCATTCCTTTAGAAAATTCCTAGACATGCCAGGTGTAAAGCCTGGGTTTAAATGTGTAGGAGTTAGTGGGCCTGGAGCAGAGTAAAGGGGTAGCGCTTTGGATACATGACCAAAGCTATGCAAAGTTGGTCCTATGAGCAGCTTTTTTTTTTTAATAGGGTATTGGGGATAAACTGAGAGGAAACACACAGAATAAACAGATTAAGGGTACTCCAGTCTTTTAATGCCGAGTACAGGTTCCAGTTTTCTAGTCTTGTGTCTTGGCATGCCCAGGAACACTTAAATGTCAGGGAGTCTGATGTCTTTATCTTTGGTCAGGCAAGACTGATTCTTGGCATTGCACCCCTCCAAAGAAATGAACAATGCATCTTCCTTATGAATGCTAAGAAATAGGGATGCACTGATACCGGTTTTTCGCTATCGAGTAAGTGTACCGCTATTTTTTTGTCCATACACGCATATACCAAATACTGATGCCGGCATCCCGGGGGAATATGGGCCCGGCTTATCAGCAAACCGTGCGGCGGGTCATGATGAGTCATGATGAGTACCAAATACTCGGTATCGACATAGTTGCATCCCTACTAAGCAAGATAGGAGCTAAAGGAGAACTATGAGGTGAGAGGTTTTCACTCAACCTCATAGTTCGAGCCGACGTGTGACAATGAAACTGGCTCAGTAGATCGGGAAGTAAGCGAACACATACCGGCGCTCGCTTACTTCTCGATCTATCCCTGCAGAGAGCCGTGACTGTCACAGCTCCCTGCAGGGATTCTCCCCTGTCCGATCCTTCAGCGCTGACTGGCGGAACGGACGGGGGAGGGTGCTGGTACAGCTGGATCTGCCTCTAAATAGGCAGAGCCAGCTGTCACTCACGCAGCTGGGTGGATCCAGACAGAATTGTCGGGATCTATTCCGGCTGCGGCGTCTCAGTATACCGTGAGCTGTAGCTCGCGGTATACTGAGCTTTGGGTGATGGGAGGACGCTAGTTTGTGTCCTCCCGTTACCCTTAGGAGAACTATGGGGGAAAGCCCTAACCCCATAGTTCTCCTTTAAGAGAACTATGTAATAAAAAGGTTACCTCATAGTTCTCTTTTAATTGAATTGGAATAGTTTTTAAAACAAAAGTATTCTT